GCAACTTTGGTCAATGCCACCCTCAACTTGACTCCGATAATTCTATTTCTCCACGTCCTTTGCCTACCACGTCATCCTACCCACTTTCCGAACCTATTTCCGCTTGACACCTTCATCTACCGCGTCGTTTACATGGTCTACGCTCCTTCCTACATCTACGTTTTGTTCCATTGGGCATCCTTCACTAAAACGTACGTCCTTGGGTTTGCCGCGTTAACGGTATTCCTGCTTCCCCTTCTAAAAGAAGAGTTACGCTGTGCGAATGTCAAACCTGGTGGAAAACGGGCCAAAAGAAAGTATCAATGTGCCCATGACCTTGCGTGTCCGGAAAACGTAGCAGTTACATTTCGAGGTTTACAGCTGATCACGAAACAATTATCGTTCGCATGCGGACCTTTTATGCCAATGGTGCAAGCTTTATTCGGGCAAATTTCGATTTCCGCAGGTTATATTGTCATTGTGGAATGGGATCGTTTAGACACCTACAACCGCGTGATGATCCCAACCTTAGCAGTGATGATTGCTGTCTCCTGGGCGGCGTTTCTTACGTTCGCGGGGAAAATTCATAAGAGTTCGGTAACATGTGTGAGGTCGTGGAAACATGGAGAGGAATTGTGGAGTCGGTCGGATGCGAAGTACATGGGGAAATTTAGGAAAAGCTGTAAACCTTTATTTTTCGGGTATCCTGGGATTATGACAATTACGCAGAAAACGGTGGCGAAGTTTGTACAGGGCATTGTCAGAGGAGTTTTTAGGACCGTGCTGGCATTGAAGAATTGAAAACAAGCAGAAATATATGTATGAATTAAAATAAAATTCGAGTTGATATTTCGATTCGTCTAGTTTGGAGACGAGTCAAATTCGAATCGACTCGATTCAATAAAAGCTCTGGGTAGTTGTCCGTTTTAAATTAAAGTCCTCTGTTTTCCAAAATTGCATTCTAATTGTAAGCCTGTATTTACTTGTAGGGATAATTTACAACGTGAATAAATCCAAAATATACATGCATAGGAATTAAAAGTTTTGTGCCTAAAATAAATAATGTGAAAGATTTTCTATGTATTCATCCTGACTCTAACTAGGCTTATTCATATGAAAGATCGATAAGATGCCTTGACTAAAATCGATGACATTATTGATGCATGTTCCTCGAAATAGTTTCGATGAACTTCACCACATAATTATATCATGCGCAAAAAATAAGAAAGTAATTAGTAATTACGTACCAGTGGCCTACATACATATGTGCATAATTTTATACAAACCTAATTTATGAAGGTGAAGTTTCTTTCTACTACATACACTCCGCGACCAAAGGTTAAAGGCACCCTGCGTCGTGATCATATCCCTTGACCCCATGAACTACGGTCGACGAATTATATTTCATCTAGTAGCCAACTAATGTAAACAATTAAGTAATACTTAAAATCTACCAATTTCATTCGCACAAGGGGAAAATGAGACAAATTTCAAAAATCGTAAAATTCATGCGCGACAAAAGGTTAAAGGCACTTCGTAAAAAACACACAAGTTACTTTTTAAAAAACAATTTAGTAATGCTCCATTCCACCACGATTGGTGATGACTTCAAACGCCTATTTGGAGAATATTTAAACCGCTCGGTTATCTCAGATTGAGCTATTTTTCGCAATAACTTGACAATGGCTTACTTTTGGTCATTTACGGTGTTAAACTGCTTACTATTTCTATGTTAACGCTCCCTGGAGATTCTCTAGGATGCATAGGTCAGGTGACTTTACATGGAAATCCAAAATCCTTATCTTTGTCGCAGAAAACAAATCTTTCCTTGGCTCGTTACTCTTGAGTAAAAAAAATATTACTTTTCAATTTTGAAACTAGACTGTTGATGAACCAGAAATGAGCCGTAGACAAGCTGACGTAGAAGGACTTCAACAATCAACAATCAACTTTGATTGTTTTTAATTGGTTTAATTGATTTATCCAAATCTTTCATTGATTTTTCCAAATCTTTAATTATTTATTCAAAATTTATTTTAGAGTCCCAAAATGCTTGAAAATTTAGTGTTCAACAAACTTCTAACTAGTTTAGGACCAACTCATTCAGAACTCGTCGGCAGGACTAATATTTCCCTTTAATTTCCAGATTTTCTCCAAAATTCTGTCCCATCTCTCCGTGTCAAGCTTGAAGAACGCCCGGCTCGTTTGTCGACACTGGGACGAACACTTGACTCCAATTCTGGGAAAGAAATGCGCCATACAGTTTGACGAAGATTGGAAAATTTTCAATCCTTCTCTGCAATTTTTCCGATACGTTGGCGAAATGCGAAATATCGCAAATTGGCCAAACTGGATGATAACCTTTCCAGAACTACCCGCCAAAGAGGATGACCAGAAAAACTGGGGGGCTAAATACGTCGCCGACCTATAGTCGAAAACTTTTGAAAGATTGAATTTTTAAGCATTTTTGGACTCGCAAATAAATTTTGCGATGAAATGATACCAATTTCAAGTAAAAATTTTAACTTTATTGATTTTGAAACCTCCTGGGCCGTAAATGACCTGTAGACAAGCTAGCAAAAAAATTATCGCTTTATATTTTTATTTATTTAAATACCATTTATGTGCAGTAAATTTAGCTAGGAGTCCAACAATGCTTAAAAATTCAGTTTTTCTCAGGTCTCTGACTATTTTATTTAGTGTATTTATATTCATTTAGAACTTATCGACAGCACCAATATTTCCTCTTAATTTCCAGATTTTCTCCGAGATTCTGTCCCATCTCTCCGTACAAAGCTTGAAGAATGCTCGACTAGTCTGTCGACACTGGGACGAACAAGTGACTCCAATTCTTGGGAAGAAATGCGCCATAAAATTTGACGAAGATTGGGAAAGTTCCAACCCTTCCCTGAAATTTTTCCGATTCGTTCATGAAATGCGAAATGTCTCGGACTGGCCAAACTGGAAGATAACCGTTCCAAAAACACCAGCCAAGGAGGACGACCAGAAAAACTGGGGAGCCAAGTACGTCACCGATCTCCACTGGTTTCTCCATCCGAGCAAGGGACATCACGTCAAGACTTTGTCCTTGCGGGGGGACATTCTGTCCGATCAGGATTACGGGTTACATCTCGACGCCGTTTCTCGTTTTAAAGACACCCTGGAGCAATTACGGGTACACTTTGACATGAAAATTTGCGACCCTGACGGCACCGAAAAAGAATATTCTCGGCGATACTTCCTATTTTTCAAAACATTGAAGAATTTTTCGCTGGAATTGAGTACTTATTCCAAAGCCCCAGAAACCGTGACCGCGAGCTGGATGAAATCTTGGGCCGACGCGATCAAGCAGGTGACCTCCATTTCCATTTTCGGCGATGATTACCGGGGGTCAAGATTTATCCAACAGATGGAAAGAAAGGGAACTTTGCGGTATACAAACTTGAGAGAAATCGTGCTAACTTGCATGCCAGAGGATGGCATCAGTTTTCTCACCGAGTTGAACCAGCCCCTAACGAAGGTGACGTTGACGATTCCTCTAGACAATTCGGATTTTCCTGACTTTGAGAATGTGCTAAAAAAATTCGCCCCGTCGCTGGAATTGCTAAGTTTTCGTATCGATACGGGTGAAATGGAGGAAAAGTCGCGTTTCGTCCTGAATATGCCATGTTTTCCTAAATTGGAAAGTTTAGATCTTCACTTTGGAAATTTTGAAGGTTTTACGTATTTCTTAGAGGGTGTCGATATGGATTGTAGAGTTAAAAACGTGGCACGATTAACTCTCGCATTTCCTCTGTTGCCGGGTCCACGTGGTAAAGTCAATCATAATGGGATCGACTATGGACGCCATCTTCCCGAGATTCGTTCCATCGTCGTGACACCGGAAGTTGATCATGATGAAGAAGATGATGATTTCTGGAACACGTACAGCGATCTCATTGACAGTTTACTTCCGGAGAAAAAAGGAAAAAGTTGCAAAACTCTGAAAAATTTGGTCATTTTGCACAATTTTATTGAACCTGAGACGCGATATGGTCAAGCTGCCCGATTGCCAGAAATTTTTCCAAATGTTCGGAACGGATGGATGGCCAAATTGAGGGTGAAGATGGATAATTGATGAAATTGTTCATCGATATGGATTTATTTTTTTAATTGCCTATTTAGTTAAGATATATTAACAACCGATTATAAGATTACTGATTTAATTTAAACATTTTATATTTCCTAAGTAAATTTACGGCTGTAATTACTTATGCAATTTGTGTTTTTGTACCTCTGCCATGTTCATTTTGAGTATGCACTTCAGCTATTTACAGATAATGTAAGTATCAAATAAATTTAAATGTACACAGAATTTCAATATTTGCAATATTGGCCTCATATTTTTATTGGATTTTATTCTCTGACTGGCATGACTATTCCGAGTGATTTTGATGTGCAAATAATTCACTAAACTGAAGCAATTTATTGAGTAAATCTATATCTGAATTTGCAACTCGGACAGAATAAGCTACATACATACATCACTCTGAGATCTGTTCATTGTTTTTTACGCAATAATTCCCTGCAGTTGAGAACAAAACTTATCCCGCATTCATGACTCAACGCTCTTTTTTACGCAATAGTCTCCAAAATGCGTTGAGGTACTCTGGATTCAAAGGTTAATTCCGTCGTGTTCCAAATGTACCTAAATCACCGTTGCAAAACGTCACGTCACGAGATTAAAGGAGTCAAGTTATCATCATTCGTACTCCACACTGTACATGCATATTTATTTATTAATACTTATATTTATTCATTTGTGCTGTGAACTTTGTCCAAATTGTGGCACAGATCGAGGAGCGGAACAATGCATAAGCGTCACATCCCGTACATATGTACAACACTTCACTTATCTTATTTGACTAATTGCTTACTCGCCAATCCAATCCATCACGTACCTTTTTGTCGGGTGGATTTTGCTTACTTAAGTTGAGATGAATGTATATAAAGAAGCTTAATTTTCATACAATATTCAGTCAAGGTGCAACACGTTAATGGATCACCAAAAAGTTGCATAGAAATAAAAAGTCAAGAAAACGGGTTTTTAATTTCAAAAAGATTTTACATCTTATTTAACCACAAGTTTTAACTACGTATTTCCGTCGAGCTGAAAATTTTCCCAAAATGATTTCTAAATCACACAAAATTTTGACGCTTTCCATACTCCTATTTTCCACATTAACCGCTGCTGCACCATCGACACAACTGAATAATAATGAAATTCCACCAGAAATTTTGCTTGAAATCGATACCATAATTCGTTCCTCGATGGAACGCCAGCACGTTCCCGCCTTCGGAGTCTCGCTCGTCAAAGGGAACGCCACCTACGCGAAAGGGTACGGTTTGCGGGACGTCGAGCACAACCTTCCCGCCGACGGGAACACCCTCTTCGCCATCGGATCGCTGTCCAAGTCCTTCGCGGGTCTCATCGTAACACGAACGCTGCGCGACTTGTACACCGAAATGGGCGAGGCCGTGCTGGACACGCCCATCGCGACGTTAGCGCCCTCGTACAATTTAACCTTTTCGGATCGATATCGGTCAGAGCAGGTGACCTTCAGAGATCTTCTCTCCCACAGAGTGTGCGTCCTCCCAGAAATGTCGGGTCTACTGGCGCAAGCGTATCAAGGAAAGGACGACTTTTATTAGTGAGTCGTTAATTATTTATTGAAGATAATTATGCAAATGTCGTAATTAGTTAAAGGTTTCTTTGAATTAACAATTTGTAAAGTGTATTTTTTAAATTTTACAGTCGCTTCCGTTATTCTCCGAATGCTCAGGAATGCTCGTTTCGAAATGGGATGGCATACAGCAACGCGTTGATCGCACTGTCGGGCGAAATCGTGGCGCACATGGTCAATTCCACGTATGAAGAGTTGGTAAGCTTAAATTTTAAAGAAACAGTACATACCTCTCTACACATTAGCATATATATGTATGAATTTGCATACTTATGTACTCATTTGTATCTCATACATACTTTCCCTAGTTAACTCAACTCCTTTTTGACCTCGGGATGACCGGGACGACCTGGATAAGGGCGAGTGACGACCATAACAACATGATGCATCGTGCCGTCCCCTACATCTGGAAGGAGGGGCGGTTACAACGATACAACACGGAACTATTAAAGTATTGATGCTTTTAAAAAAATTTGAATTTTTTTTTAAATTTATTTTCCTAATTCAAAATTAATCTGAAATTCAGACTGATCGCACCAATTTTCGGGGGTGGCGGGATCCTCTCTTGTGTCAACGATATGGTCAAATATATGCAATTGTATGCACACAATGGAAAAATTGGAGATAATCAAGTCATACCAGAGGTTGGTTTTTAATTTACAGAAAAATTTCGAGATTTCTGAATAAAAAGCTTGATTTCTTAGGAGGTCATGACCTGGATGACCGCAATATCGATTACTGAATACAGTGGCATCACGAAAGGGCTGAGCAACCCAAATGCCACTGTGGACATCAGTATCGGCTATGGGCTCGCATTATTCTCAGGAATTTATGATGGTGGGTTATCAGAAAATATTTAATTTCGGTCCACAATTTTATTTCTTAATTTAATTTTTCATAGGTTGGCGCCGAATCGGTCACGGCGGCTTTATGCCGCCCTTCCAGTCGTCATTCTATTCTTACCCCGAACAAGGAATTAGCATCTTTGTCGCTGCAAGCGGCCCCGGACCGTTGTTGGAATTGGAGGAAGTCAAGCGTCAAATTTACTACTTGTTAGCGGGTAAGAATTTGGCTTGGAAACCTTGTTAACATATTTTTAATTTTGAAGAATTTTTGGATAGGAAATTTCTGAAAATGTGCTACTTCGAAAAATGAAATTCTTTCTAATACATCTTAAAATTTACAGGATTTACAAAAGCCCCAAAAATCCAACCAGACTACCAAATGAAGCACGAATTATCGTTTTATAATAAATTTCGTAATCCAAAACCTGCCAAAAGTCAACCCCACGAAGACGTTGAAATCACACCAGATCAAGCCGTCGGTTCGTACGGAAGTGGATTTGATGGTGAGTTTCAAAATTATACAAACATTTTCAAAAAAATCTAAACTATTTATGAACTTTCCAGGCGAGATGAACATAACTTTTCGCAATAATTCCGTCGGGATTCCGCAACTTTACTGGAGCTATGGCCGAATGGCGGAGGGCTGGCTGGTTCAAATTGCTCCCAACAGGTTTTCCTTGTCGAAATGGGGGTCCGACTTTTGGATGATTTTCTGGTCCGTGGGAATCGGTTTTGGTGCCGTAGAACTCAGATTCTTGGACCTCGACACTATTCAATATTACGAACTTGGAGCAGTTTTTTCGACAAATTTTATAAGAGGGTTAAAACTCGAGGATTTGCCAGTTATTCCATGGCACCCGGATAGCTGTGGCGTAAGTCTCATCTTAGGAACGGATTATCCAATATAATTAACTAAGATGATAAGCCTACGGTAAATTGAGACAATCAGCAACTGTTTTCCTTGCGATAGACTATTTAAAATGTAGTTTGTGTGCAATAACAAAAAATTTTAGAATTTATGTCAGAATAAATTCATGCATAAAACGTAAATAAATAAAGGATGTTGACTTAATTCGTCCCGATTTGTGTTGAGAATATTTGAAAAAAATGTACCTCAAAAACGGCTGAAAACATCGGGATAGTATTTGGCAAGGCTTATGTAATTTAGTCTTTCGGCAATTAATATGGACTAGATTGTCACGCCCTTAACTCTTTTCTTTTGACTTTGTAAAAAAATTCGTAACTTTGTGTCGGGTTCCAAAAAAACAATTGGGACGAATTAAATCGTCATCATTTGCGTAAATTAGGATACATAGATTCAGAGCTGGGAATTAATCGAGATTAACCAATGTGTTTTTAAATGTGTAATCTTAATCTTAATTTTAATCTCTGTAATGCCAATACATTGCTTAATCTGGATTAATTCCCAGCTCTGCATAGATTCCATATATCAAAATGCATATACATATATCTGCTTGATCATGCATACATACATACATACATAAATATCCATAAATTGTTGAAACCGATGCATTTCTCGGTGTACATACATATGTAACACACAATACATACATACATACTTACATATATGCTTTCATATTAGTGATATAATCACCATTTGTGCCTTACTTATCAGTACATTATACAATCAACTTGATTACATTAGCATAAAATCCTACATATATACGTTTAATAACTAACTAATGCTAATCCCACAAATATGTGCATATACCTAATTATATTTATGTATTTAAAGAAAAATATAGAGATGGCCTCCAATCTTTTAAAACCTTTTATATAAATGTATAATTTATAATTTTATTGCATATTTAAATATATATACGTTTTAGACAGGTAAACCAAAATATCAAAAACCTAATCAGGCCACTCATGTTCATTTAATTAGATTAAATATTACATTCAAAGTCATATTCGGCATAAAAATAATACAAATTTCGCAAATACATATAGCATCGATAACCTCAAATATTCCTACATATACCTTATAAACAGATGTCCTTCAATTTATTCTCAACAACGTCATTTTTCAACGATTCCAACTTGCACGGCGAAATCAGCAACATGTTTACGGAAGAGTTTTTCCAAAAATTTGGAAACACTGTTAAATTCGCCAATATTTTCAGTTATCCCTTCCTCTGGAATGGGAAGACTCGACGGCTACACTTTTCTCAGGAACTTTCAGCTAATGCAACCATCATTTTACTTGTTGCGATAACTTTCGCAATTTTCATGTTTGGGCAAACCATTAAATTCAAAATCCTCGGAGATTTGGCCAACTATAACCTATGCTTGCTCTTCTTTTACAGTGTGGTTGCAGGAAATTTGTCTCTGTCGATGTTGGCCATAAACGGGAAAGATCTTGCAAGTTTGCTGAACACAATGTATCTGTACGGAATTAAGTTCAATGGTAAAAATTTGCGTAATTATTTACGTAGCTATTTGAATTGTTCGCACGATTCAGTGTTTGCAATGTTTCTCGCGGGTTTGCTACCTCTTGACTTGACTCTTGTTCATTGCATTTCGCCCAAATTACGTACAAATCTTTGTATCAATGTATTCTTTGTGCATTAGTTTGACTTCTCGCGTCCCTTCCATATTTTTGCTCTGCCTTGTAAGAAATTCTAAATTTGAAAAAATGCTTGAAATAAACGCCCACACTTCTTTATACGGACTATCCTCATGGCGCTTACTTCTTGTAGTTGTTTCAATTCTCAAAGAAATGAATCCTGTTAAAAATGCTTCTAGCACCAATGGTTCAACTATGTTTTAATACCGCGTCATGCTCGCCATAAGCTTTGCCTGCAAAAAATGACGCGTTTTATTAGATCAATATAATTTTAATCTTCATTCTAAACTAAATCAGCTGTAAACTTCTTTCACACAGCTGACCTGCTAAAATAACTACAGAATTATGCATATGTGCATGTATGTATTTTATGGGCCATGAGCCTTGTAAGAATTATTCATTGAATAAATATTATTATTATTATATTATATATGTATGTATTTCAGCACGATGGTGGTCGCACCCAAAATGCGAGGCTGCCGCTACCTTCAATAAAACCTGGATTCCAATCGCAACTTTAGTCAATGCCATGCTCAACTTGACTCCGATAATTCTATTTCTGCACATACTCTGGCTACCACGACATCCTATCCACTTTCCGAACCTCTTCCCGCCCGACACCTTCATCTACCGCATCGTTTATATGGGCTACGTACCTCTTTTCGCGTACTCCTTGTTCCATTGGGCATCCTTCACTAGAACGTACGTCCTTGGGTTTGCCGCGCTAACAGTATTCCTGCTTCCCCTTCTAAATGAAGAGATACACTGTCCGAGTGGCAAATCTGGTCGTAATAAATCCAGGAGAAAGTTCCAATGTGCTCCTGATCTCATGGCGTGTCCGGAAAACATAGCAGTTACATTTCGAGGTTTACAACTGATCACGAAACAATTATCGTTCACATGCGGACCTTTTATTCCAATGGTGCAAGCTTTATTCGGGCAAATTTCGATAACCGCGGGATATATCATCATTGTTGAATGGAATCGTATAGACGCGTACAACCGTGTGGCGATCCCAGCCTTAGCAGTGATGATTTCTGTCTTCTGGGCGGCGTTTCTGACATTCGCGGGAAAAATGCATAAAAGTTCGGCGGCCTGTGTGAAATCGTGGAAACGTGGAGGGGAACAGTGGAGTCGGGCGGATGCGAAGTACATGGGGAGATTTAGGAAAAGCTGTAAACCCTTGTTTTTCGGGTATCCTGGAATTCTGACAATTACGCATAAAACGGTGATAAAGTTTTTACAAGGAATTGTCCGGGGGGTGTTTAGGACAGTTTTGGCATTGAAGGAATGAGCAGGATTAAGATAAATAGAGTCGAAGTACGAATACCTGTTTTGTCGGAATTTTTCAAACTTACATACTCATGCAATAAAACAAAGCAGCTGCACTGTTAGCTAAACTCATTTGCATATTTTTAACAATTTATGCATTTATTTAGGTCTTAAACGCGCTAAATTGAGCTAAATATATAAATGATAGTGTGCACATCTATGTTTTTTCCATCCCACACTCATCTTTTGGCACGTAGTCCACCAGATTTTCTGGATATCTTGTTGGCCTTAGTTTTCCACCACATTCAGAGATTTGATACCCGTTTAGTCTTTCATCTTTATACACACGTAAAAAGTCTTCAGTCCAGTTAAACTTGGAGGCGACGAGGTCGTAATAATCCCCCGCGATGGAGATTGGTGTATCCACGATGTATCTCAATGACGCCGCTAGTTGCACGGTGTGATAAGTTTCGACGCCAAAATCAGCCAAATGCGTGTCCACGTCGTAGCGAGACATGCATTCCAACCGACTTCTCGGATAATACCAGAGGACACCTTGGCACATTTCTTCATATGTGGAACGTCCTCCGATCACGGGCTTTCCCTTCCGCCAGATGGATGAATACGTACATTCGACGGATAGTTGGTCTCCAGGCAGAATTTGACGCGTTTCAAGGAGAACTTTGTTCTGCTGGAAGTTAAAATCGTACTGGGTGTCAAAATCGATCCAGGGAAGTTCAATGTTCCCGCGGAAATGGCGCGTCTTCATTTTTCGACCTTCAAAATTCAAACTATTAAGTTAATCAAATTTTCCAGAACTCATAGGAAATTCACATTTGATATCTTGTATTTTCCACCTCATCTATATTATAATTTGGAAATGTTTGTGTGCAACGGAAGTGAAAGTAATTTTCCGTAACGGAAGTGAAAGTAATTTTCCGTAACGGAAGTGAAAGTAATTTTCCGTAATGGAAGTGAAAGTAATTTTCCGTGACTTAAGTGAAAGTGGATAAAGTTTCACTTCCTTTGCCAACAGACATTCACAGCAGAATTATATACAATATAAATAGATACGCAAAAATATTTCGGTGGAAGTATGAACAATCCCACTCAAATAAGCTCTTGCCCAGCGGGAGACGGGCTGATACGCTAAACTTAGAGAACGATGAGTAATAAAATTCTTAACATGCCTTAAATATGAATTTTTCAAATTTAGGCACTTAAGTTTAGAAAACAACAGCTGGTACTTTAAATTGAAAATTTTCTGCCATCCATGCAAATGTCAAGCTACTTTTGTAATTTTTTATATTCACCAGATTTGTGTGAGTGCAGCATCGAGGCGAACACGGTGATCCCTTCGGGTTCTAGCGTCTCATGGGTGCACTGGGGACTACAATGCCCAACGACCTTGAAGGCATCCTGATTTGGCGGGATGGTCAGCGATATATCCACGGATTGGCCGATACCAAGTATTCCCGCGTCGACAGATCTCAACTCGGGCGTGTAATACATGACCAAACCGGTTTCAAAGAAGGCGCCCTCCAACAGATGTGGATTATCGTAATGAACTTCGACCATGTAATACTGCGCGGTAGGCGTTTCTCCAATCGGGAAACCAACATCTTCTGGGAAGATCATCATCTGCATATTTTTTTTTACATATACAATCGTGGAAATTAGGATGCCCAAAGTTTGTAAATCAGTGGGATTGAAACTCGCCCACTCTTAAAAATTCACTGGTGCAACAAAAATTCAAATTGGCAGATTCACCTTGCCACCCTTCGCCCACGTGTATACAATCGAGTCACACTGCGCAATTGGAAAGTATTGTGTCGTAGAGCAGTGATCTCCTATGACCCCGTTGGTATACGTGAATCGATCAAAGGCCTCCTCGTCCGTCTGATGTGGGGGCGCCTGACATGAGTAGACGACAAAGTGATGAGTGTGTTGAATCGAGTGAAAGCTAGGGAGCAGGGTGTCGAACTGGAATAAAACAAATAGTCGTCGACCATGAAGCTATAGTCCAATTTATGCGGATATATTTAGTAATTCGGGGGGTATAAGACTTAAACTTTTTGTCACAATTCTGGCAAAACCTGTACATATTTTCATAACACTTCAATCTCAGAAATGATGCTTCTATTTTGAAAAGTAAATCCACTAAATCTAGTAATTTAGACTATACGCTACTCTGGATTTAATATAGTTTACGTCAGAATTTTCATCAAATACCTGTCAAATTTGTCACATTCCGGGTACGTAATCAAGAGTAGAATCGTTTTAGTTTGAGGGATCGGTGAAAGTGAAAAGAAAGTAAATAGAGAAAACCAGGTTTTATACACACTTATAAATAGTGTTAATGTTTGTAACGTAAACCCCAGTTTGAATATGAGATGAAGCTATTAATTTAGGTAACAACAAATTTAGGTTGCATTAAAATTTAAAACGGATAACATAATTTTTAGGTAAAAAGACATCAAGCTAATTCTGCAGCGGAAAATTACAATTAATAGTATTAATTTAATAAGATTAAACCATGGTTCTCACCGCCACGATGTGGTGCTTTCTATTCAAAGTTGGTCCTTTATGGAAGGTGCACCAGTATGTTGTGTCAATCGCTGGCATTGTGATGTTCATCGCAATCGTGCAACGTTGTAAGGATGACATATTCAGTTCGGGTGTTGGCTCGGATCAAATTCAAACTTTTAGTCCCTCGGTTGGTCGCGCCGTGATAGGTGATCGTATCCGTGTCCCCGAGCGCCCAGATAATTCGGGTAGTGTCATTCTAAAAGCAGTAGCTTAAGTAGTCAGTGACTTAGTTAAGACATTAGCTAACCAACATTGCCAGTTACTTGCAACATGAATTATTTACCCCGATTGCAAAATCTTGCTCATTACACGTGTTCAAGAAACGGGAAAACTTTAAAACCGTCTTGTTTTCCCCTGATAATACATACGCTTCTAGCAGCCTCCAATCCTGTTGGGTATCCAGGACAGGTGTGGTTTGCCCGGTTGCATGGAAGTCCTTAAACACAAGGCAAAAATTTCAGAAAATTTTGTTTTTCAGTTTGAACTTAGTGTTTTTCATGCAAGTTGGGTAATCACATTTATGCAACTTTATAACTATTCCAAGTTTTTGATAACTTGTTAGAGAATCAACAAATGTGCTTACCAGACCGTACGTTGATCCATCCGGGCGCACCCCAGCGATAAAAATGTCCGCTCCAGTCATTCTTCCCGAAGGAGAAATACCAAACCCGACGAATCCCAATGTTCCCGCGACCACTTCAAACTCGATCCGATCTTCGACCACGTCCCATCTCAGGACATACTTTCCCTCACCATCTAACGTTTCTTCATTCATGTAAATAGAGGAACAAGGGGGAAAGATGTGCAGCAGTCCCGTGAAGAGAAGCAGGGTCAATATTTTTGCCAACATTAAAAAATATACGGTGTTCTCCGTGGTACTGCTTAAATACTTCAAATGCGAGCAATATAGCCGAGTCGCGCGGAATTTATGTATTCATCGCTAATTTGCGAACGTGATCCATCGTGCAAAACAAATAGAATAAGGGTTTCACATATATATGTATACCTAAAATCGAGCTGAAAGCAATATATTTTTTTTCATGGTACAGTTTGCATAGAGTATTTACGCACGTACTCCCATTCGGACGGTGCATTAAGGATGTATTTTATGTATTTATCGAGCCTGTCATAAACTTGAAGCAGGTTCTGATATTCTTAAACACATACATATTTATGTATGTTCTTCTGGAATCCGTGATATATTGAGTTGTGACTAAAGTTGAGAAACGAATAAAATTTGACAAGCCTTACGAAACAGTTTTAATTAAATGTGCTGATGCGAAATTCATGTCAGGCTTTTCGCCAATAATCTAGTTTAACATTCGAGTTTGGGCCACACGCTACACACATGTTTAAAACCACTTTACTCCCACTGATGCTTTCCTCCATACATATATACATACACAAATAGTTTACATTTTGATTAACATTTTAATTAACCTTGATTAACGAGTTATTCATAATTTTAACTTTAAAAGAACTCAAGACATGTGCAGGCATAAGGTCAAATTATGTGTTTAGAACTTGCATTCCACTCATCAGTCAGAAAGTATTCCTAGTAAAAGTTTAATTGGTCATATTGACCTTTGTAATTTTCAAGGCTAATTTACCACTCGAGTTCAAGGACGATGTTTGTGAAAACCATAACCTACCACAAAACCTGTGGTTTGTTTAAGCGATATATATGATGTGTACAGAGTGACGCAATAGTCGTAACATTTACCCAGTTGATTAAATAAAGATATACAAAATAATGCAGAGTTTAGGCAAGAGGTTTCTACTGAATCTACATGTTTGATTAGGTGTTTATTACATAGATAATTATTGTGGACACAGTTCGATTCTGAGATGTCCTTGCATAATAGTGGTTTCGAGAATGGTAGAAAGTCATGGATTCTTTAGGCGTCAAGCAACCAAATTTTAATCATAACATTTTAACCTTTTCGACTAACGAATTTCGTAACGGGGAAGGAAGATGTAAAATTGTAACGCTTAACGTTTCTGCATATGTACATACATAAGTGCTGATACATATGTACATATATACTTTGATTAACTGCATATGTAGAATGTTTTTCCCGAATCAGATTTGTGTACATATGTGACCCACTTGCGTAAAAATGCAATAAAGATTATATTAAACACTACAACTAATATTAAAGAGGTAATTATTTCCTAGAAATTAATTGTTCAAAAAAGAGTAGATTTAAGATCAATAAAATTACATGTACATGTGTATACAGAATTGTTTGTTTAATGTGTGCTTAATAGGTGTGAATATACATAACTACATACATAATAGATATACCTACCACGAGGGAAATTTACTAAACACAATTGATAAGCTATGAGAAAATTTAGTTTGTACACGGTTGAGCAAGGGATGAATTTACCATAAAATAGATTAATTACTATTCTTTTACACACTAAACACTGTGTAACTTACACGTACAATAGTTACACACTAATTCATTTACCCACTCAGCATCTAGTGTAAAACTATGGACACCAAATATGTAGTTTCTTTCTCGTCGTCATACATGCATAATCAGTGATTATTAATCACACGAGCACCAACAAGCTGACCACTATACTGACAATGCCTGCAATCGTGTCATACATCGCACTAAACTTGACAATTCGGATCGGATCTGATTGAATCCCAAATATTTTGAGACTCTTGACCACTCGGGACCAGTGCTTGTTCAGCCTTCCAGTTCCACTTCCGCCGCGATCTTGGCCGAATTTTATCCTCCCCAAGCACACCTCCGACTGGGCCGATACGGTACCGAACAGGTGCAAAAATCCGAATATCAGTTCCAACCCGATAATCGCGAGGACCACCATTGTCGCCAAGTCGGACGGGACGAGAACCGAGTGCAACCTGACGGATCCAAAGATGCCCAAAATCGTCAACACTGCGCAAGTCCACATCAAGTGAGGTATCCGACGGAAGGAGAAGATCCGTTGAGTTTGGTTTATAATGTAGAGGTAGGTGTAGTAGCGGTATTTCGAGGCGAGTTTGAATTTTGATTTTCTGTTAATAAATAATTAAGAAAACATTAGAGAAGTGTTTTTGCAGGCATAACTTTTCGCAAATGTGTAATAAATTAAACCAATTGGTGTGACTTCGGAGAAATATGTACCATGGGATTAAGCGTGATGCAAATACGTTGCCCACTAGGTGGCGCCTATTTATTGCCATTTTGTATTTTGTATAGTAAGCGGAAATTAAAACAATTGCGGAGAGGTGACAGAACTCGAAAGCTAATATAGGTACATGCAAATCATATTTTTGAACACGAATGGACATGGGCACGAACACTGGGTGGTATATACGTAAATACATACATAAGGAACATTTTGAATTTATTTGTTAATTCCATGTCCACGTAGACGCAAATGTAAATAAGTATTACCCGATTTTTAGCTTGGAAGAAACCCACATTATGTTAATTAGCATTTTCTGTCTGGAGGCAAATGTCAATTAATTATTTAAGACATAAGTTCTTGTCTGGTATCCAGCGAACTAAAGTAGTGTTAATCTCGGATTTGTCAAATTTACGCATGTGGTACATATATACCAGTGGGAAGAATTATTCGACACCGTATGCAAGTAGTATTTAATAAGCTTTTACTCCGAGAGCAACACTACAGTCCTTCACATTGTTCAATGTCGTCAGAATTTATTTAAGTTCTAGACATTACGAACAACTTGCATAAGTAGATAGTGCATTGAACTGGGTAAAGATGTTGCTCTTGCTTCGAAACTATTTATGTATTCTCACCAGAGGGCGGATATGTATGTATTTCTAACTTTTTCATTCCCAATCAGATCTTACTATAACTTCGTATACACACATCCTATCGAAGCATGATTTCAAAAATTCAAACATGGTTTTCCATATTTTACATATTTTAGGGTTTTCGTACATATACATATTTTCATACATATTTTGAGGTTTTTTCGTAAATACACATATTTTCCTACATATTTCGAGCATTTTCTAAAAATAAACATTTTAATGCATATTTCAGGATTTCCTGAGGAAAAAATATTTTTCTTCATTCAGACGTTAAAGTTGGATAAAAATTATACTTTCATGATAACGGAGTTTAATTCGTGTAAACGACTAGAAAATCCATTTTGCCCCATTTTTCAAGTCATAAAATTGCCCCTGAAAATCTCTAAATATGGCTAATGTCGTTTTACGGGTCATTACATGAATATTAAAATACAATACATAATAATTCATTAATAAGAGTGTTACAAATTTGAAACTTTTAGAAAATTAAATGCAAATATAGTAGAAAATTTCGGTTGAAAAATATGTTTTACGTGCATATTTTCGCGTTTTTTAAGTACATATGTACCTACCAAATGTGTCTACCAAATGTGAGTCTAATACAAACTGTTTTAAAGAACTTAGATTCGGAGTGTCATATTATTATAGCACATCACAGCCTCAGGTCTGTTCGGTGAAATAGGTACCAAAAGAGGGATTTATATCTATAACCTGCCCCCTTTAAACATGCCATGGACAACTTATGAAACTCCATACAATTTTGGGAATACGACTGGTGCATTCGTTACTTCTCAGAAAGCGCAGTTTCCTTGTTTTATCGGTGTAATCATAACTCCAAGACCGGAATTTAATATCCAATCGGCCCAAGTGATAAGCCAAGATGAACTCGCGTTCATTAGTAATAATCAAATACGTTATATGTACGATATTCTTTACGCAAGGTTGGCTGATGTTACCTATATCGACGAAATGTCCAATAGCAGAAGTTCTCTATTTATCAGGGTTCAAATCAACTTTAGGCGTATCATCATTTCCTCGCCCTTCATGGAAAATGTGTTTCAATACTTCACAACCCTTACCATCATAGATGATAAGGGAATCTGGTATCGCATGTGTTTACCGTGTCGAAAAAGCATGTATGGGGTGAATGTTTTGGAAACCGAGAAAGCAATTCTGGCTATAAGTAGCCACGCCAAGTTCTCATTCCTGCTTGACCAACCTAGTCATCTTTCGCTGGTCAGCAAACAACTGGTCGGCTACTTTAACATGAAAGAATCCTGTCGAGCTTATAAAATCGGGCCTTTTCAACTTATCCGAGAGGAAGGATATCAGGGACGTGCTATATTGTTTTTTACCCTTGCCTGCTTAGGTAATTTCACATGTGGAGAAGCAAATCCCAGTTGGGAAAGAACTGACTGGAAAATTGATGAAGAAGAAAGTAAAACGTACAAATAATTCATTTTCGTGGACGAATATCGGGAACGATTTAATGCACCTTTGCTTTATTTTACAACCATGAACCAGGGAGTTTCTTTTCTTACGTGTCATTCAATACAGCAACTATCGTTCCTATTATTTCTTAAGCCGTTTAAACCTGCTGTTTGGTTTGTTTTTCTTGTTTCGTTGGTCATGATTATCTTTGTTCTGGCGATTTTATTAATGATATATCTTAAATTTACCGCCTTTAAAGCGATATCATTTGCCAAGATGGTTGTGGTATCAATTGTGTTGGAGAAACCTACCCAAATTCCACGAGGTTTAGAGAGGAGAACTGAATTCAGAATAATGGTAGGTATATGGATGCTAGTTCAACTAGTTTTGACGAACGGCTATTTAGGCCTTAATATCACATCACTTTCGGCTCCACTAGAAGCCAAATCGGTAACCCAATTCGGTCAGTTGGCTAAGCCAGGATGTGCATCAGGCAATGATAAGTGCCACATTGATAGGTTAAATCGCTTGAATCAAT